TCTTTGCTTCAAATCTGGCCTTACACAACATTATTTGTGCCTGCCCTAGCTGCGAGAGAGGATAGGTATCTATTGGTTCAGGCTGGTATAAGACTCTACTGCAGATTGGATGGCTTATTATGAATGACAGAAATTAATTTCTTACAGCTCAGGGGACTGACAACCTGAGAAACGTGCACCAGCATAATTTGGCAAGGGTCCTCCTTCAGGATGCAGGCGTGTGTCTCCCCACAGGGCAGAGGGCTTGGGGAGCATTCTCTGGCGCCTTGCGTCAGTACACGTTCCATTTGTGAGGACTCGGCCCTTGAGATCCAATCATCTCCCAAAGACCCCGTCTCCAAATGCCATCATCTTGACTTTAGGATTTCAGTGTGTGAATTTGGCGGGGAAAACATTCAGACCGTAGGTCTAGGGAAGGAAGAGCTGGTCTTTCCAGCCCAGAGAGTGAGCTACAGGTTTTGCCTTTGAGAGGCTTCCCAGACGCCCATGAGACTGCTAAGTCTATACCACACTTCCCTACCCTTCCCCACCTCACCTTTCTAGCCCCTACTTTACTCTAGCTCCTCTCAACTTTATTCAGCACTAATCAGGCTAGAAATCAAAAAACCCCTCCATGCTGAGGCCTCTCTATTCTATCATACTGACTATCCTGCTCCCCAAAATGCTCTTCCAGGATCTCCTCCATTGCCTCTAAAAGTTAGCTCAAACAGGGCCCTCCCTGGTGGCGCAGCGGGTTAAAGCACAGCATTAAGAAGCTAAAGCCACTTCATGAGTTTGATTCCCACCCCAAAGTGACCCACATGGCACGGCAGACCTGTCCTGACCCACCCACTGCACCCTTCACCTGTGTATTTCTGTCCATCTGCCTGATCTGCTCTCCACTCTGTCTCTGGTGAATCCTCTCACCTGGCCTGTACCCCAGTTCTGTATGCATAAAATAAATAAATATTTAAAAAAACCCACAAATTTAGGTCAAACATACCTTTCCCAATTAGACCAATGGAAGCTTTGTAAACCCTCCAGCCCCAGGAGTGTCCATCCTAGAGGGGCCTTTGTCGCCTGCACTAAACCTCAGTATCTGTCAATACCCTGACTCCAGCAGCTGGCCACTCAAACTCCAGGAGTCAGGGAGGAGTGGGGGCATAACAAAGGGCTGTGATGCTTCTCTGTCACAGGCACTGTGAGCTGGCTGTTGAGAACCTAAGAAGGTGGCTAGGAGAGGGCCCTGTCAGGTGGCTACTTGGCATGGAGATAAGGGAAACAGAAAATCAAATTTTCCCATTTGCCAAGCACTGAGGGTACGTTGGCTCTCGTTTCAGGCCACAAGGAGTCGGTGCCTAGGCTGCCACCGATTATCCCAGCAGATGGGAACTATTGTGTGCATCAGAACAGCCACACCAAGTACCGGGAAGCTGTGCAGAAGGTGTTGCTAAAGACATGTAAGTCACGGAGCACCGCTCAGCGGGCAGAAGGCCCTGGGTATGTCTGGGCTCTTAAAAACTGGCTGACAGAAAGAGAAAGAAAAATACCGGATGGTTTCACTCATAGCAGGAGTATAATGGACCAGGCGAGAAAATAACAAAAATAATGAACAACCATAGACCAGAGACATTTTGTGGGGGTGGAGTGGGGAATGGGATCCAAAACGGGGGAGGAGGGAAATGCACGGGACTATGGTGGTGGCACAGGGGTGATATGGTGATGGGAAACCCGTGGGGATTACAATTGAGATGAAAAAAAATGTGCAAAATGATGTAAAAATAAACTTTTTTTTTTTAAAGATTTATTTATTTATTTGTACAGAACTGGGGTACAGGCCAGAGATGCGGAGGGTGAGAGAATTCACCAGAGACAGAGCGGGGAGCAGAACAGGCAGATCGATGAAGTACACTGCTGAGGGGAGCAGCGGGCGGGTCAGGAGAGGTCTGCCACGCCATGTGGTCACCTCCGGGGCAGGCGGGAATCGAACTCATGAGGAAGTGGCTTTAGATTCTCAGTGTTGTGCTTTAACCCGCTGCGCCACCAGGGAGGGCCAAAAATAAACTTTTTAATAAAAAAAAAAAAAAACTGGCTGGGCGTGAAGGCGCCAGGGCACACAAAGAGCCAGGAAGAGAGACTACGAGGAGGAGGAGAAAGCCGGTGAGCATACGGAGGCAAGAGCTGGACCACACTGAGCAGCCGAAGACGCAGGGGTCCTAGTTCTGCCTCTCTGGAATGGCTGTTCTGGGTACTCACTCGCCCTGTCTTCTTTTCATTTACTTAAAAAAAAAAAAAAAATGCCTCCTTTGCTAACCTGAAAGGTTTGTTGTAAGGATCAACAAATCCTTTGTACATCCGGCCATGCCTGTGAGAAGGGTAGACCGAGCATTAGCTCTGGAATTTGTTTGAACTGAATTAAAACTTCAAACATGTGGTATAGCCTTGGGCGAGTTCCTTTTATCACGGAGCCCTTCTGAACCACCTGAAAATGGTAATAATACCAGGGCCTTGCTGTGGAAGTTAGAGAATTGTCAAAAAGCACCTAGAACAAACAGCTGACACAGGTGGTAACTTCTGAGACGCTCCAGGGGCAATTTTAGGAAAAGAAAGCTGACATATTACATGTGATTTATATAACATTCTTTTTATATACCTAACTTTCTTAACATGACGAAACTACAGAAACGGAAAAAAAAAAAAAAAAAGCGTTGGCTGCCAAAGGGCAGCCCCAGGACCATGCGATGAGACTGCTCTCATGGTGTGTGCGCTGGCTGTGACGCAGCTGAAGCCCCTCCGCCGGTGGGGGTGGGGGGAGATCACGCAGATCTCTCTGACCCTGCCTTGGAACTATATGGAATCTAAACAGATCTCAAGATTAAAGTTTGATTTAAAAAGCCAACAGCAGCCTCCCTAGTCCCTAGGAGTTAGGTCTTCAAAGCACTGTCATGCTATGGCCTGAGTTCCAGTTCCGGCCAGGGAGTGACCCCCATGGCGAGGCAGACCTCTCCTGACCCACCCGCTGCTCCCCCGGCAGTGTGTTTCAGCCCATCTGCCTATTCTGCTCCCCTCTCTGTCTCTGGGGAATCCTCTCACCCCCATTCACCCCTGCGGCTCTGGCCCGCACCCTACAACTTCTATGCAAAAACAAAGTAAAAAATAATAAAAAACTAAAATGCTTTCAGAATTTTCCAAATGTGCATAAAGGAAAGTAACTAGAATTTATTTTTAAAATCTTATTACCACTTAAAAGGGAACATCTACTCAGTGGAATATTAATTAAAATAAAACTATGAAGATGATGTAGCCAGATTATAAGCCTATGTTTTAAAAACACACAAATATAATACACTGGTATATCCAAATAAAGAGTGAAAATACAAAGATAAATCTAGAAATTAGTTTTTAAAAATTAAAAAAAAAAAACACCTGGGCCCTCCCCGGTGGCGCAGCGGGTTAAAGCACGGCACTAAGAAGCTAAAGCCACTTCTGCATGAGTTCGATCCCGCCCTGGAGGTGACCACATAGCAGGCAGGCCTCTCTTGACCCGCCCGCTGCTCCCCACTCTGTTTCTGGTGGATCCTATCACCACCCCTACACCTCTGGCCTGTACCCCAGTTCTGTATGCACAAATAAATCTTTAAAACAAAAAACAATACAACATTTAGAACTCGATAGGCTCTTAAACTTTATCTATCAACAGGATGTGAACATGAGGCACTTTTGTTGTTTTAGAGTTACCTAGAACCAGCAAAAATATTTTGGAAAGAAGGGGCTAAGGTTTAAAAAAAAAAAAAAAAAAGAGCCAGCGCACCCAACTTGCACGTTTCCCAAGCGGGTAAGCACTTGTTGCCACTGTCTCAGTATCTGGAGAAGCCTCCTGAGAGGGGCTGGCGCGCAGCCGGAAGAACCGAGCCTGACATAAGTGACCGCGGAGGGCGTGCACTGCTGGAGTCAGGAAGTGCAGCGGGTGTGGTGACCACGTTCTCGGGACTTCTAGCACCTGCTCGGACCCAGTTCCAGGCTGGGGTCCCTTTTGAGAAGCACACAGGGAGCAGAGAACTCCCACAAGCAGTTGAATAATCTGCCTTTCCTCCTGACCATCCAGTTCCCAACCAGGACTTCAGGGTCCCCTTGACGGATGCCCAGAACTTCAGCTTCTGGCGGTCCCACGACCCAGGAGTGCGCCCAGAGAGGGCTATGCCGTGGATCCAGAGCCCCCGACACAGCCTCATCAAAAGCCCCATGACCAGGTCAGCCTGGGGGAGGTGAGGGCAGGGAGGTAAAGTATTCCCTCCCCAGTTGGGGGCCAGAACAAGGTGAGTCTTCCCGGGGAAAGCTGGCCCCAAACGCGGGCGATGGCGTCGGGCTCCCTTTGGATGTGACTTCTGAGCAGGCACAAGAGAAGCATCTAGACGGCTGCTGTGGGAGGCCCAGACACACCATAGCGCTCCAGCCAGCCAGGCTGAATCTGAGACATACCCTCTTTTCCAGGTTCATGGATCACTCCATTCTCAATGACAAGATCTTCAGTCTGTACTGAGCCTGACATGTTTACAGAAGTGCAACATGGCCCCTGGAAGGACAGAGGGGGAAAGGAGGGAGAGGGTGTCCTGGTCCAGCTGACACACTGGGGGAAGAGATGGAAGAGGCAGAATAAACAGACTGGACCAAAAGTCACTGCGTGCGCTAGGGGAGGGCAGGAGAGGGAGCCACTCCAGCCTGCGGGTTCCTGGGAGCTCAGGTGTGTAAAAGCTTCAGGAAGGAGCCAGAACTCAGGGTTGGGCCGGGCAGGGGCCTGACACTAGAGAAACCACCAACCACAGCGGCCTCGACTTCTTGCGTGGCAGAAGTCAGAGCAACAAACGCGGCAAACACACAGTCGGCAAGAACCGAAGTGCAGAGCAGTCCTTCCTCAGATGCTGCAACCGCACCTTGGCAGAGGGGCACGAGGCCGCCACCCCCCCCCGGACCTGCCAGTCTGACCCAAGCCAGGGCCCGGAACATTGGCACAGAACGGGACATTTTTACAAAGAGTCTGATTTTATTGATACTTAAATATATTAAATATTTCACTGTAATACATGGTACACCTCCCTCCCCGACCCCCCCAGTGGTTACATTATAAAATCAAAATCCAGGGGCCTCCCCTGCACCGGCTCCCCACCCACTGCGGAGAAAGGGGCAGTGGCAACCCGGGGACCGGCGCGGCTGGCACTGTGGTGCAGGGGTCGGGTGTGGACAGCAAAGACGAGTCTCCCAACGCTGAGGTCTTCCCACTCTGGGCAACCTGCAGTTTCACCGCCACCCCAAGTAGCTGGCCCTTCCTATCTAGAGATATGGCTATAGGAAGGAGAGTGGATATTCTGTCCGCCAGCTCGTCTTTACCTCTTGTCCTGGCGCCCACTGGGTTGGTGCACGAGGGCCCCACGGCGGGCAGTGTCAGGAGCCAGGCTCTGCACGGAGCTGGCCCAGGAAGGCCAAGGGTGGCACCTGCCCTTCCGTCCCCAAACCCTGCTGCCCTGAGCCCCTCTCCCTCCCCCCCTCGCAGTCACCTCCAAGATAAAGCGATCTTCAAGCAAAATTCAGGCTAATGCCTCTGGCTTACGTAGGTACAGACAAACCAAAGTACCAACTCATTCAGGTCAGAGGAGAGGGGGTTACAGGGAAAAGGGAGAAAAGGGAGGCAGGGACAGGAAGGAATCCAGAGTCCAGCTCCCCTACCCTCCTGCCAGCCGCGAGGGCGAGCCAGGCACGGACTAGACGCAGGCTGACAGCTGGGGGAGGCCCAGCTTCAGGCTCCCCTGGCACGTTCCCTAGTACCGAGCATCGGGGTCCTCGGAGGGGCCGCATGCTACCCCAGTCCCGGAGCACACCACATCCCAGAACACAAGCTGGGGATCCCAGGAAATTCCTGAGTTTCTGCCCACCCAACCCCAGCCGGTTCAAGTGCACAGAGCACTGGGGCTCGAGCGGGCACCTGGGTCCCCGCTCCAGGCAGAGACAGTCCTGCGGCACACACGGCCCCCAAATGGCACTTAGGGATTTGGCACGAAAAGGGCTCCTCTCCCCAGCGCCGCCCCCCTCCTGTCACCACGCCCCATCCTGTCCCTGTGCGTCCCTTGAAATAGGAAAGCCTCTTCCCAGAAGACAGAGGCCCACAGGAGAGAAGCAGCCTGGGGTGGGGCGCCGAGGAGCTCGGGGGACGCGGGGACACAGAGACCGGGACGGACACGACACCCACAGACCCACGTGCAGTCAGACGCACAGGCCGCCCCCGCCAGACAGAGGCCTGGGGCGGGTTTGGGATCAGGGTCATCTTCTTCCACGCCCTGATTTTCTTCTATTTGGCAACAGAAGGGGTGAAAGGACAACGGGAGTGTGCTGGGGCCCGGGATCAGCGGCTGGCACCAGCTCGCGCCCCGGCGGTCGGCTCCCTTTGGCACTACAGGAGAACTTCCAGCTCCTGGCCTTCTGCCACCCCCACACGGGCTTTTTATCTGGTTGGACATTTTCACAGTACCAGTGAGGCCAGACGCCCCTTTCCCTGGAAATCTGCAGGGACTGGGGCTCACTCTGAGCTGTCCGGAGTCCCTTCGTTCCCCTTTGGGGACAGACCGCGGGACTGGGATTTGGCAAATGGCAACATTCCTCTGAAACAGCGACAGAACGGGGCCCTGGGGCACCTCCCGCCTCGGCCGCGGAGGAAGACCCGGCTGGCATGGTGGGCACCAGGGCTGCTGCTGGGGGTGCGGGCTCAGCAAAGACAAGCACGGAGCAGGCACTCCTCCGGCCCCCCCAGCCTCTATACAAAATATTCCCAGGAGAAGGAGGGAAAGAAGGGCCGGCCCGCACCTGCTGCAGGGGGTGGGGCAGGCAAGGCATTCTGCCCTCTTCAGCAGGGGCGCCTCCATGCCCCGCGCCCCTCCCGTCCGAGGCTGGAAGAAAGGCAAGGGGACACCGCCCCGGTGTAAGAGTCACGCGCGTGATCCTTCGGCACTCCCTCGTTCGCCAGCCTGAGGGCGGACCACGCGGTCCCAGCGCAGCCTGCTGGGGTGTTCCCTTTGGTGCTCAGCTGGCTTTGGCGGCTCAGTGACCCCTGCCACAGCTCCACCCAGCGAGCAGAGAATCCACTCAAATGCCCACCGCGGTCTCTTCAGCTGAGGACAGGTGGGTCCTGCTAACTGCTCGGGCCCCCGTTGAGGAAGTAGGTGGTCATCTCCCCCTTGCCCTTCACCTTGACCACCCCTCGACACTCCAGCTGGTAGCCCTTGGCAGCTAGAACCTGGTACAGGTCTGTGGTCACCTGGGGGTGGAGGGGAGGAGGGGAGCCTGCTTAGCCTGGGCTCCTTCATGCTGCACTTGCAGGGCCCAGGCGTTCTCTAGTCACACCAGCCGCCCTCCCCAAAACCCCGCCCCACCAGCCCCAAAACACACCCCCGTGCCAGGCCCAGCTGACTGGCAGAGAGAAGGCTCTCGCTCCAAGCCCCCCGCCCCCCCAGGCTCTGCCCACATCCCCCTCACCTGGATGCGGTCGGGGACACCCGTGCTGTCCATGCGGCTGGAGACATTCACTGTGTTCCCCCAGATGTCATACTGCGGCTTCCGCGCCCCGATGACGCCTGCCACGACAGGGCCCATGTTCAGCCCTGTGGTAGAGACAGCGGCACGGATTTAAGGCTCCCAGGCCTCTCAGGGTTAGCCTAGGAAGTCATCCCACCTCCTGGCACCTTTGGAAGGACCCGGAGCGGAAAGTGGAAAAAGGACACGTGACGGACGGAGGGGCTGTGTCGGCCCGGGGGGGGGGGGGTCCCCGCCAACCACCTGCTGAGCATTTTACATCATTTCTTCTTCTCAGGAGCCCGAAAAGGTAGATCACTTAATCCCCATTTTACAGGTACTGTAACTAAAACCTAGGGAGGTTAGATGACTTGCTAAGTAAACCAGTAGGTGGAACAGCCAGAATTCAAACCAGTTTGACTCCAGAATCCTTGCTATCAACCATTCCCAGCCACCAGTTCATGCGGAAAGAGCGCCTGTGACCAGACTGGTCAGAGATACTGGAGTCTAGATAAACCTGGTTCTGAACCCCAGCCGAGCCACTTACTAGCTGTTTAAGCATGGCGGTTACTTAATGTGAGAGCCAGTCTCTTTATCTGTAAAAGGGACGATAATATGAGGATTAAAAGGTGCTCCAGGGCCCTCCCTGGTGGCGCATCGGGTTAAAGCGCAGCACTATGAAGCCAAATGCAGCTCGAGTCCGATTTCCCACCAGGGAGCTGACTCCCGTGGCACGGCAGACCTCTCCTGACCCGCCCGCTGCTCCCCTCAGCAGTGTACTTCATCGATCTGCCTGTTCTGCTCCCCGCTCTGTCTCTGGGGAATCCTCGGAGCCCCCACCCCCCGCCCCCCCGAACCTCTGGCCTGTACCCTAGTTCTTGTATGCATACCTGAACCTTTTTAAAAATACATAAATAAAATGTGCTCCAAAATGCCCTGGACGGAACCCAACGTCTAAAAGGCCGTCGATAAATGATCCCTATTCCGACTATCAGGTGACAAAGGAGGTGGCGAAAAGGGAAACCCGCAGGCGCTCTCATGGGACTGAGGTCCCCAGCCTGTGCCCCGGACGGTGCCGGGAGCCCAGGCGGGCCGCTCACCGATCTTCATCTGGAAGTTGTTGAAGGAGTGCTCGTTGATGTGCTTCATCTGCTCCATGAGCCGCATGGCGTAGTCGGCGAGGGCCGTGACGTGGGAGCGGCCCGCCTGGTCGTAGGTGCTGGCGTTCAGCCCGGAGGCCGCCATGTAGGTGCTGCCAATGGTCTTGATCTTCTCCAGCTGCCGGAACCGCTCCTCGCTGATGATCTGAGCAGCACGGGGACCCGGCTGTCAGGGCCAAGAGGCCCAGGCCAGCCGCACCCCGGGGCTCACTGATGCTCATTCCTGGCCGGGCCCTGGCTCTGTCCCCCATTTCCCGGCCTGCACAGCTCCCAGCTTTTAGCGCCTCCAGCTGCTGCGCTCGGTGCAGGACTGAGGAGCCAGGAAAGCAGGTCCTCAGCATGCAGCCGCCAGCGCCAGGCCTGGACACAGCCTGGGGCGTCAGGTCCACTCAGGAGGTCGCTCACACAGCCCAGCGGCTCAGAAGGCGTCTCAGGCAGCAGACCTGAGCCGCAGGGGGGAAGAGACGCCCCTCCCAAACAGCAGCGGCCCTCTCCTGGCCGGGTGCCAAGGAGACGCCCCCCCCTCCCATCTTTGCTTCTGCTTTCTCTGCTCAGGGAGCCACCCTGCCTGCTTGACCCCACGGGGCGTCCACAGACATCAGTCCGCTTCCAGCCCGACCCCACCACAGGTCCTCCTGTCCTCCTCTACTCCCCAACAATGCTCATGCTCCACGGGGACTGACCCCCAGGGGCCCCGACCCCAGCCTGGACCCACCGTCCCCTACCCCTAACATCGCTGGGTGCCGTCCAGTCGTCCTCCCGCCTCCCCCCCCTTCCATCCCGGCCTTCGCATGCCGAGTCCCCCACCCCTGCCCCCAACCCCCCACGGCCTGCAGAGCCAGTCGGCTGGGCCGGCACCTCATCGAAGTCAGCGATGATCTCATTGAGCAGCCGCAGGCACTCGACGCCCTCGTTGTTGGCCTCCAGCTCCACGTAGAACTCAGAGAAGTTGGCGATGGAGGCAAACATGACGGCCACGCACTCGCAGGACTGATAGTAGAGCTCGTCGTTCCTGCGCTCCCGGGCCAGGAAGTGGGCGGCCACGTCCTTGGGCAGGATGTTGTGCAGCAGCCGCCGGTTGTAGGCCTGCAGCTCCTCCATCTCCTCCTTCTCCCCTGTTGCCTGCGGACACCACGCCCATCACCCGCGGCCCAACATTCACGAGGGGTGGGTGCAGCGGCCAAGGCCAGGGACGGCATCGAAAGGAGCCACGTGGCAGAAGAAAGGCATGGGCCGAGGGAGCCCCTGGAACAAGCCCCGGTGGGCGGCAGGGCAGGGCCGGGAGAAGCAGGGCGATGCGGGAAGGAAGGCGCAGCGCCGGGAGGGCTCAGCAAAGCCCACGGCGTGGCCGCTGAGGACCTGGACCTGGCTGTGCCCACGCGCTGCCCCCCGCGGTCATCCCCCGCACCACGGGTGCGCCGAGTCACCTGCAGCTTCCAGAGGAAGTCCAGGCGGGCGGTGGACTCCACCTGCTGGGCGTGCAGGTACAGTGCCAGCGCGAACACCAGCAGGATCACAGGCGTCATGTGTTTGAGCGCCACCCTCCCGGCAGCGGGGCTGGGGTGAGCAGAGGCGTGCTCAGGGTCTGCGGGGGCCCCGGGCTGCCCCCCGCCGCCCTGGCCGGCTCAGAGCCCTCGCTTACCAGTCCAGCCCACCCAAGGTCTCATTGGAAGCGGCCCTGGCAGGAGGATACAAAAGACAAAGCCGTCAGTTCTCCCCGGGTTGCTGAGCGGGGTCTGAGCCGGGGAGACAGGAACGCCTTTACTGGGCACATACCATAAGCCAGGCACGGAGCCAGAGCTTTTGTTCTCTCAGCCCACCGAGAGCAGAGGTCAGGGCAGCTGCCACTCCTGGCTCCTTTACTTACCGGGCCTCAGTTTCCTCATGTGTGAAAGAGGCGTCTTTTAAAAACAACGCACGCAGAAGGCTTGGCAAGTGCCCGGCGTGCAGCCAGCCCCCCTGCCAGTTAGCTACTGCGTCCTCTACAGCTACCCGGCTAGCAGGCGGCCCTGCTGTTCTAAACACCAGGACTTTGTGGCTCAGAGGGGTTAACACACCTGCCCAAGGTCACACAGCTAGTAAGTAGCAGAGCAGGGATTCAAATCCAGGGGACTTCAGAGGGCTTTTCTCTACCACACCAAGCTATGGCCACCTATCACAAAGGTCTGCAGGGGGAAAGCCCTGAAGCAGGCTTGCAAGTTTTGGTTCCTAAAGAAGGCTCTGGAATCTATGGGTGGTTAAAGAGTCACTAAGAGAACACTATGCAAAGGTTAAAGGGGATTTGTTTTCGAAGGTCGTCTGGCCTAAAACCAGGGATTTCCCAGGACTGGGGTTTCCTTGGGCTGGTGGGCTGGGTTCCAAGTTCCTCCGCCACCCACCCACCCCGAGGGGGCGCTCCCAGGGGCTCACTGTGACCCAGCAGGGCGGGGACGGACGTTCAAGGAGGATGAGAGAGCCCGAGGCTGAACTCACAAGCCATGGACACCAAGCAGCAGGTCATAGTTGTCGAAGATGGTGGCCGGGGGGCCCAGCAAGAGCAGGACCAAGTAGATGAGCCCCAGGACAAAGACCATGGCCAGCTTCCCGATGCTACTGATGTGCAGGAAGACAGAGCTGGCCAGGAGACTCAGCAGCACGTTCCCAATGAAGTACTGGGGGGCGGGGGGCGTGCAGAGGAAGAAGTGGTTTGGGGAGGAGGCAGACAGCCCCGCACTGCAGCTTGACCAAAGTTCCCCTCCACAACCGCAAACCCCAAACCTCCTTCACCCCCACACCCAGCGCACACCCCGCGCCCGACAAGGCCCCCGGCTGCACCAGGGGTGGGAGCTCTGGTGAAACCCTGGGTCCCGGGGGGACACGAGGTCCCCAAGGGCGTGAGCGTTCCCATCTGCCAGGCCTGGCACAAAGGCGTCGGCGGCGACCCGGACTGGTCAGATCCCCCCCCCCCCGGGGGCGCTGCTGGCCACCTCGGGGAAGCTGCAGGTGGGTGCGGCGCCCTCACACAGAGGAGTGTCCAGGCCCAGGGAGTAATTGAGCTGCTGGAGGTGGCAGGCGGTGACGTCGGTGGGCGTTAAATTCAATATCCGGGCTGCACAGGTCCGTATGGGGGTGTGGTTACAGGAAAACTGCAAGAGCGGGGCGGGCATCCATGAGGGGGAGGGGTGGCGGGGAGGGGCTCAGGGGCCAGGCCAGGGGCCTAGCCAGGGGGCTCACCTCCGGGGCAGGCGGGAATCGAACTCATGCGGAAGTGGCTTAAGCTTCTTAGTGCTGTGCTTTAACCCCCTGTGCCACCTGGGAGGGCCCCAGAATTATATTTTTAAAGAAATCTTGAAAATAAAATATTTTGTTCTTCTGTTCTTTTGACAAATAATGTAACATTACTGGTATACACACACACACACTCATATATATAAAGAATATATAAAGAGGAGAGCAGTGGGCGGGTGAGGAGAGGTCTGCAGGGCCATGTAATCACCTCCCGG